ACGTATAAAAAATTTTCTTTAATAATTGTGTAACAATCGGATCGTCATTTCCATATTTGGGACGTTCTCTCCTGTTGCGAAGTTTACACTATTCGATTCCTCTCATAGAGAGGGATCGAATAGTATATGCTTCATCCGATTAAGATCACAGGATCCCGAGGTAATCCCAATTCGTCGAAAATATTTAACTTCGTCATTATACCCCCTCTCCCTTATAATATCATATAATAATATGACAAAATGATACGTATAAATTTATATCATATGACATATGATTCTGTATATGATTTTCGTCACATGATCTTATGACATTCAACACTGCTTTCTGAAGGATGAAAAATCATAAATGAGAAGAACATGGAGGTCGTTGCAGTTTTTAAAGGGAGATTATAACGACACAGCATACAAGTGATTTATCTCTGTTATCGGCACAGCAAGTGATCGATATTAAAAATCAGTTTTTTAAATTTGAACGAAGATATCTCAATGACTATCCAAGCGAATTCGATGAATTCTTTTTTTTTTTTAATTCTACAGACTTATAAAATTAAAATAATAAAAAGTTTATCGAATTTACTTAGATGGTTGCCGAGATATCTTCGTTCAAAGTTTGTTTAAAGGATTAAAAGTCTACAAAATAAAAATTTTTGACTTTAAATAAGGTATATAGACAACTATCAAAGCAGATTCGAGAAACTTTTTTATATTTTAATTCTACAAGTCTGTTGAATTTAAAATTAAAAATTTCATCGAATTAGCTTAAATAGCTGTTAAGATATCTTCGTTTGAAATTTTAAAAAACTTCATCCCTACTTCTATTTAATAGTCGTTTGAACAATTATTTAAGAAAATTCGATGAATTTTTGTTTATTTTGGCTCTAATGACTTGTAAGATAAAAAGATTCACCGAATATCTTTGTTCAAAGTCTTAAAAAATTTTTATCCCTGCTTCTATCTAGGTTTTTTAATCCTTTACCGAATTTTAAACGAATATATCTCGACAATCAGCTAAGCAAATTCGATGAACTTTTTTTTATTTTAATTTTACAAGTCTGTAGAAATGAAATAAAAAAGAATTCATCGAGTTCGCTTGGATGGTGTCGAGATATCTTCGTTCAAAATTTTTAAAAAAACTTCAATTTTTAATGTCGATCACTTGTGCCGATAACGGGGATAAATCACATGCATGCTGTGTCGTTATAATCCCTAAATTTTTGTTTTCTCAATCATATGTGAGTTAATATGCTTCGATAACAATACAATAAAACAAATTCATCGCGATTATGTATGCGAAATTCGACCATTAGGGTCAGCTTTATTGATATAAAAATATTACACAATATTTAGTGAATTTATAACACTTTATTTTTTCGATCTTTTTTGAGAACTGTTTACAATGCCCTGCAAATTTAAATGAGTCCATTCTAAAAATTGCGAATTTCCTTTATATTAGCAACATTATATGATAAATGTATATTTCAGTAGAGTTAAAAGGATACTTATCTGCAAAACTAATAAAGCATGAGCGAACTCTTCTACTTCTTCAACCGTTTCTTTGTCCAAGGGTATTTTCGCTTTAATAATGAGAGATAATAGTTTACTCCCTTTTCCTTTATCAAGCCGTGGGTTTCAAGATACTTACCCGCGATATTAACAGCAAATCCTATATAATTGTTATAAAAGTTTTTTTTCGAACATTTCTTTGCAAGCTCTTTGGATCCAGCTATACAGAATTGTGTTAATTTATTATGATCATGAAGACTCTTATCTTCGCCAGCACCCCATTTTCCGCCTTCAAAGAATATAATTTCTTCCCATTTCTCGCGAAGATAAGCACGAATCATAATATTGGGTTTATTGCCTCTCGATCCGGTTTTTTTGATGAATCTTCCAGTTCTTACTGGCTATACTTTGCCGTTCAGACCTGGTAACTTCAACTTCAAAATCCATGGGAAAGTGATACATAGTCATATCTAATAGACGAGAGATGATCTCTACCAATGTATTTTCTGAACCCTCGGAAACTCTTCGAAGCGCATTCAGCTTAATTTCCGCATCAGTAATTCCATTTGCTATGAGTTCCCTAACATCGATCCATTGATCATGTGTAACAATTTCTCTTGAAGTCGTAACAAACATTCTTTACTGCAATATATGTTTTTGTGTTGGTGTTTCTTCCTTCTAGCAAATTAAAAAGTTAATTTCGTAGAAAAGATCAAATTAGATAATAGATTAAAAAGTCAATTTTGTAAGAAAAAAATAAAATCAATTTGGATAACTGATTACCTTGATTTTATCTTTCAAAAGCAATATACTGTTTAGTACCAAAGCTTTTCAATTTACCTCTTCTTGGAATTTCCCTCGTAAGAACCCCATATTTTTCAAATAGTATCTATAAAAATAAAATCTAACGGTGAAATTGTTTTTAGCAGATTTTAGGTTGGTGATGCTAAGGGTCCTACATATTAGACAGTCATCTGTCTGGTTGTGCCAAATTATTTTATTCAGGCATATGTAAAATCTATCTAGTCCTTGAAATTTTATTATGAAAATACAATAGATCATATAACGAACTCTAACAAACATGATTGTTAAACTTGTCTGAATCAAGTAATACAAGGGAACAAACTTCTTTAAAGTTTCAAAGACGGTTTATTATGACAAATTTATTACTACAATATATATACAAAAAACAATTTTTTGTAGAGATCAAAGCTTATGTATGAATTGTTATTATTATAAGCCAATTTTGAAAAAAATCGATCGGCTTAGCTGATTTTTCATTATTGGCCAGGATCATTCAGAATTACTAACTTAATTATTCTTTTTTGTTTTATTTCTTCTCAGTCTCGGCCGTTTAGAATTAATTTGAACTTGAACTTGGGCATTCTTGGCACTTGGGCTGAATTCTTTATTCGATTTATTATTTTTAACTTTGTATTTGGAAGACTGTACAGATGAATTCATCTTTCGATCATTCCAATAACGAGTAACCAAATTCGGCGCAAAGCTTTAGAATAAGTGGAATTTAAGATCAGACATGTTAATAAAGGGGATTTGGTGATTATTAAGCAAAGCAGCAAAATGAATTTCGATTGATTCATACACATCAGTAGCGTTTACCCAACACGATTCCTTTTCATCATAGCCAGCCCATTTTACTTTGTATTGAACATGCCCCTGCAGGAAAAGAAAAAAAAACCACGAAAAGGCACAATTAAAGATAAAAGTCAATGGATAAACAATCAAAACAAAAATCCTACATCTGTTGATAGTCTATGTGCTAATATTTTTTCAACTGTATAAATTCCTTCCTCATTATCGTCATTCTTTTTCACATCATGGGGCCGTGCTTTGTTCAAATTATTATTTTGATTATCTCTTTTAATCTTTTTAGGACTTCTCTTCGTTTGCTTGGTACGCGCCATAAAATAGAAGAACTGGATTTTTTTTTTTGTTGTTGTGAGAAAGAAAAATGAGCGTATTCAGTCCTGAAATCGCTATGAATCTATTAAATAATCGAATAATAATGCGTATGACCAATTACATGACCGATCAGCAATCTAGTTTATGAATGCAATACAGCAATGATTAGCGAGATCTAAAAATCTAATATATAACTACGATGATTAATCAGAAATTAAAGTCATTTATCAGTTAACAGAACCTATTTATTATTATATGAAGCGCAACTAGGGCGGTGACATTATTGGGCAAAGGCAAAACATTACCATATATGATCCGGGAGTACCTCTATAGTAATATAGTAAATAGATATTAGGTAATAAATGTCATTGCCCTTAATAGTTAATGTTTATTATTTCGCCATCAATTAAAGAATAACGTCTTCTTGAAATATCATTAAATATTGAACTTTTTTATTGTACTGTAAAAAAATAAATATATATACAGGTGTTACCAATATGTACTACCCAAAAACATGCAAATATTTTAGCAACCATTAAATATCTTCATATCTTACTAATCTTGTTGAGGATTAATAAGAATTTCACTCTTACCACCTCCGGCAACAACTTTCACTCTTGTACTCATATCAAAAGGGTTCCCATCATACGCTACAAAATTTGCAATGTTGCCTTTCATTAACTTTCTATTTCTTCTATTTAAGCCAAGGATTTCTTCCAAGTTCCATGAAATAAACCCAATCGCCTCTTTTTCGGAAATTACCCCTCTAGAATTTATTCCTACCCAGCCAGCATCCCAAATTAAATTTCTTTCTGCACCAGATTCTGATGCACCTATTCCTACTAGAACTTTATTCGCATAAAGTATTTCAATTCCGGTTGTATTGGTAATAGGTGCGCCTGTTAACGCATGTTGAGCAGACCATGCCGTTGGAACAGGTCGGGGTGGGGTAAGTATTACGGGTATTCTATGCTTAGCCAATTCAGCAGCATGCATATGCGCTTCAGTACCACCCAATATTACAAGGTTTAAATGTCCACCATTTATTCTAACTTGAATTTTCAACCGAATCAAGGAAGCAATTTCATCTTTGTTGTGAGTTAGTACTACTAAAGGGATATCCCCGCGTGCAGCACGACCAAAGATATTATTTTGCAATAGATTCTTTATCAAAGTTTTTCTAATCAAAGCAATCTGACCCGAGACTGTCGGTATGGTGGCTATTAATTAAAAATGATCTCATGAATAAATGTAGTAATGTTAATATATATATATTAATAAATTTATATTTACTATATTTGAATTTAGTTCCTATCTGAGCATGAAGTGCTACATCTTCCTTAACAATCGGTTCGGGATCATAATCTAGAACTTATTAAGAAATAAAACATCTAGTGAGCACTTGCTAACAATTGTCAAGATAATATTCCTAAAATATTATACCAGAGCTAGCACCGGTTTCAAATGCCATAGAAACGCCAATAAACACGCCCTTATTTGAGAGAGGCGGAGTGACTGAAGTAAATACTCCAGCTTTATACGCGACTTCTAAATGTTTACCTCCCAATTTCAATCCATCGATTGCGTAAATAATTCCTTCAGCATTGTTAGGATTGGATACAGCAGTCACTTTACCATTTGTCGTTGAAGATTCTCTGGCGATCTCTGATAATCCTAGAGATGATGCAGCAGCAATGAATCCCTTAAATTTGAATAGGTTTAGATTTATTATTGGAACTTCAAAATCTGCAAAATTCAACATTTTTTTTAAAAAAAAACCTACTGGTAATATATATCCACCATTTAAATCTATTACTTCATATGATGAAATATGTTCTGGTTCTGTACAATTATTACCAATACATTCAACAATGCCATCTTTAACTATTACACTAATATCTCCTTGTGTTGATGAAGTGGTATCAATTATATTGTTCTTATCAACATAAATCTTGCCAACATTTTTTAACACAACTGAGGAGGTTAATCGCGATTTAACAGGCTCTTGTGTAAAACTTGACTTCGGTTTAGGTGCATTTATATTGTTTAATAGGGTTTGTTTTGATATATCAGTTTCAAGTGCATATAATGAAGTATTGAATTGAGGAATTCCATCGATATAAACTTCTAATGGAGCTGCACCCAAATCAAGTGGGTAAGAATCCCAAACCTAAATAATAAGATAATCATAAATAAAAATACATGTTTATAAAACTCAATCTACATTACACATATCCATTTATCCATTATTACCACAACATCAGCATCATATCCCTTTGAAATCTGACCGATGCGATGATCTAAACCAAGCGCTTTTGCGGGCACTGATGTAACGGCTGCAAAGGAAAGATGTTCATCAAGACCATAATAATGTGCTTTGGAAGCTTCAAATATCAAATGTTGCTATAATTAAAATAGAATAATTTAGTATTTTATTTTGTCTTAAGACTTCAATAATAATAATAATAATAATAATTCACCGCATTTGTTACGGGGTGGTCAGATTTTAGGGCTACGGGAATGTGTGCATCAGCTAAAATTTTCGGAGACTTTGTACTAGCTTGAAATGACTCCTTCTTGAAGCCCCAAAGATCAGAAAATGTCGCAATAGTAATATTATTTTTTACACGTTTTTTAATAATTTCAGTAATACGATAAGCATCCAGTGCATGATGAAAAGCTGTAATAGTAAAATTAAATTCCAAAGAATGTCGAATAATTGCTTCTATATCATAGGTCTACATAAGATTATTATTAGAAATTTTTAAACATCGATTATAAATTTTACAATAATAACAAACCTCATAACAATGGACATTCAGCCTCGCATCGCCTCTAAATAATGCTACCAAATTTTCAAGTTTGAATTCCTCCGGGAAATATGAATTCAATTGCTCGTCGCTACTTAATTTTTCTGCAGCTTCACACCAATCATCTTGTTTCTGCTTCAACGCCTGTGCTTCAGCAAAAACTTTACGGAAGAGCCATGCTTCTCCCATCCGTGTAGCAGGAATTCGTCCAATAGGACCGTAGTTCCCCTTTATTTAGCAAGAAATTAATCAGCATGTAAATCATTAAATATAGTGACGCAAATAAATGTCTGTGTGTACCTTTGGATTTTCACCACAGGCCATTTTTAAATAACGCCAAGCTCTCTCTTTTTCAGGATCAATGTTTGCATAAACCCCCATATCATCCACTGACAAAGTATCAACAGGTCTCATTTTGATAACGAAAGCTTCACCACCCATCAGATTAGAGCTACCAGGCAGAACTATATCATACATAAACGCTAAATTAGACATTGATCATTATGATACATAAACTAATTCAGAGTTTCTACATTGTCCTAGCTAATGATTGCTCACGTAGAAAGGTGCGTTTATCACTAAATAGTTACAAATGCAAGCGCTCTTATACGCGTCATATTATAACAATAGTCAGGTAAGTAATCATTCTTACCCAACGAAGTTGTAACACCACCGGATGCGATAATCCTAATTGCTGAAATGATATACCAATACAAGTATTATAGGTTGCAATTAGTTAATTCAATTCATCTTGACTTTACTAACCTAGATCACCTGGATTTATAGCGTCCTGAGCGCGAATCTAAAATGGAAAAGACCTTGTTAGTGTATTTTATTCAGATGGCAAAAATTAAAATGAGCCAAATGATTGAATGCTAACGTAAGACCGGATCGGATCTGTGATTTCGTTTGTCTCCATAGTAGCGGACAAATATGGCCAAGAGCTGAGACCGACATGACTAGAAATTATTTCAGATTATAAACGAGTCAAAGATCAATAAAATAATAGATTATTAGTTTTTTTATTTCTATTTTTTTTGTTACCTATGCATATCGACAAGTCCTGGTGTAATATATTTTTCTTTAACATCAATTACAATAGCATCCTCATCAATGAGATTCGGTCCAATATCGTGAATTAACCCATTTTTTAAAATAATATCACCTAAAATAAATTCTCCTTTTTCGTTTAAAATCTTTCCATTTTTTAAAATGACGGTTTTTGTTCCTGGAACAAATCTAGGATTACTTGTTCGTATAAATTTATTATCGGGTTTGACACGCTTTATCATATTGCATTTATTAACACCATCTCTATACGATTCTTTAGATATCCCAACAGAATGTTGAGCTAGTTTATATCTATAGGGAGCCGAGTGAATATCATATAGCATAAATAAAATAGTAAATAACCCGAAAATTAAAATGGGTATAAAAAGCTTCTTTGGTCTCAGAACGTGAAATGATGGATTTACATTTCCGGTATATCCATTTATTTGGATATATTCCTTAAGATTTTCCAGCATTTTTTTTTTTTATTCTTTTTTTTTTTATTTTATTATTTTTTTTGATTGATGATATTCCATGAAATTTATAGAGATCAAAGATTACACAATGGTGTGCGTACAAAATTTCAATTTTCCCAAATTTCGTTAGGACGCATCTCTAACAAAAGTAATAGAATAGTTATTATTAATAATATTATTATTTTTGAGTCCCGTGAAACTTATTTATCAATAAAAGGGAAATATATGAATTTTTATCACAGAATTATGCAGATTGTCGATCCAACTTAATCGCAAGAGCGATAACGATAATATCAACACTACTGATTTTGGTTGTAATCTTAATACAGTGATTACTTATAACTCTGGTAGATCGATTGGCCAAGCTCATTTCGAATCTGGTCAAATGATCTGCAAATTTGACCAGAGTTATGAGTAATCGGTTCCATTATTTAGATTACAATTAAAATTAGAATGTTACAGTAGAACATAAGATTTCATATATTGGTGACTTTTATGAAATGATACGTAAAATAAGTTGCCCAGTCCGGGTAGTATACAAATTGAACGTGCGCTTAAGGTAACTGCGCACATGCATTTTTGTTTTCTGTACACAAATTTTAATTAGATTTACGTATATATTTGTAAGTGGGCGCAAAAAAGATCATTGCGCCTTTTATAACTGACCAATTTCATGATTTTGTGCCTAAATGAATGCTACATACAAACTGCTTAAATTCAAAATGATCGAAACGGATTAGCCATTCTCGAAATATAGCTACGTATTAAATAGTGTCGAACATCAAAATTAAAATCAGAATAAGGATTATCCTGATAAAAAGATCTGTTTTGGGGTGTCCTAAAATTCCTAAAATTCCTAAATTGTCCTATATTTTTTATTAATGGAAAACACTAATGTTAAAAGGAATGAATCAAAATCTGATAGTAATTTATTTTTAAACTTTAACAAATATAACACGATAATTGATAATATCTATTTACGTAACTATAATTTGATTTTATTTTAATTCCACTAATGTCGATACAAGGAATTAATAAATAATTTTTTCGCACATATTAAAATATAAAGTTGATTTAGAATCAAACTTAGGTGGTATTTAGGGATATGTTATATTAAAGTTAGTAAATCAATATACGTATTATATTTCCGGATCTTATTCAAGAAACAGTTAGTAATAATACCCGAACCTTAATCACAGAGTATTATTTTTGGGAATACTGTAAGCAGTGGCCAACGATAACCGAAGAATCATCCATTTCCATTGATCTCTGATCCGTCACTTCCCCATGGTTTCATAGATTCAATATTTGCTACAACATCGATATTGAATGATTTCTCAGATACAGTCAAACCTCATTATAGTCACACTTGATATAGTCACAACCTTGATATAGTCACATTATTTTTTAACTCGAGCTAATATAAAACATATAAAATTTGACCTTTGTATAGTCACAACTTTTTATAATCGCCAGATTCTTGTCTCCCAAACTGGTGATTATATCGAGGTTTGACTGTAATTATTTCATTCACCCCTAAATTGAATCAAGTCCATTTACATGATCGTTGTGAAAAAAATAATTACTGATCGCCTATGACAGATTATTTCACTTAACCCGATTTAGGGTCTGAAATGAAATGATAGACATTTTGAATTCATAATACGTCAAAGCAAGAACAAGCGATTTGTTCGCATTGTTAATTGACTGGCAAAAATTTTCAAAACGAAGAAACAAAATACGATACCGTAATTATATTTTTATAATTTTATTGTAAAGATTTAATTTACTCGCTTTAATTTTGCTGTGTCGATAATGAGATAAGTCACGTGTTGATGTACCTCTATTTCGGATACATAGCTTTATTTTAGAAATTTATTTGTCCGAAAAACCCTACCTGCCAACTTTACATGGAAATGTTGTAAGTGGGAACGGAACATAATAACTATACCTAAAATCTAATCCTCTTCATAATCTATAATTCTAAATTCCATTTCTATTATATACAATATATAGTATCGTAAATAAGATTTGGAAAACAAAATACAGCAAATTCCTTCTGTATTTAAGATGACTAAACCATTTTTCTATTTGGTCAAGCCCAAATAGATTAACCACTCATGATCCATTAACTTTACACGATGAATGATCACGCCGATGCCTCACGATGGCTAATAACTTTGGACTTAAATGAATGCTAACGTTCATAGAACTCATTTAATACCAAATATTAATGGGATGCCGTGAACGAAGTCACGAGGCATCCATTTGTCACGAGACCGTGAACCGGTCCATGACGTGGGTTATTGGGGTATCAACAATAAGTTTAATCACAAACTTAGTGCAAGACATATAGTAAAAATCACTATTGAAGATTTTTTTTGATTGATCTTCGAAAATTTCAAGTTATATTAAATTATTAATAAAAAATGCCTTCACGCGAGCTTTAATAACTCTTGTTATAATAATTTTTTTTTAATTCTGCAAGTTGACATTTATTCTTTAAGAGTGTCTCTATCATGTAATAACCGCATATTTTTAATTATATTAATTGTTTTTATATTACATCAACTAGCATTTATTAAGCATATATTAATATCATTTTATAATGATGCCAAATTAGAAAAGTATCTAAAATAGCTTGTACATTTTCTGTAAAGCTTTCTAACTCTACATTGCTAATAGAACTTCTTAATTCTTTTCGAATATGTTGAAGTTTTTCTTGAGTTATATTTTCAATTCCACTATTTAGACCTGAAATTTGAATTCGAGCTTGCTGAAGTTCTGCATCCATATTTGGATGTGTCTTGATATCATACCGATTAAACATACCCTCCAATTGTTGCTGATGGATTACAATACTATAAATTCGATATTTAATAAATTCATAAATTAATAGAAATTTCCATAGCTCTTTATCTTCAGAATTTGCGAATTGATTAAATTGTTCATAAAAATTATTATCTGATAATGTTTCAAGTAAGCCAAAGATATTTTGATTTTGGTTAATCAGATCTTGTTGTAAATGTTCGATATAAATTTTTTCATATATAGTAGGACAATTTGATTTAGATTGAAATTCAAATACTTGTAAAAAGGCACGTGCATATTCTGGACCATGATTGCCACCCAATCTACAAATACTTAATGGTAAATAGATCCAAATACTCATCCATTTTACAAATCCATTAAATGCATGCTCAATTCCAACTTGCAAAGATTCGTTTAAACTATTAATTGTATCCAAAGATAAAATATCTTCTACATCTAGCAACTCATTACCAAAGAGATCAGATATATATTCAATATAATTTTGAAATTCCTCAATCCAAGTTAATACTATATCGGGCATTTCATGGGCCCGATTTACAGCAGGAAGACATTTAATATTATCATTATTTAAACTATAAATTTGAGGAATTGAGTCATATCCAGTTAAGAATTGATAAAATGATTCATAAAATTCTTCTCCAAACTTTACAAGACATTTTATTTGTAAAGTTAATTGTATATCATTAATCTATTCATTAAATATTTTCCACTTTTGAATATAGCTTTTTAAAACATTACTTGCTTTATTTAATTTTTCTAAAAAATATAGTGCAAATTGTTTATGAATTTCAATTCGACTAAGGTATTGTTTTGCAGATTTTAATTCATATAGCCACCTTTGTTGAATTGGTTGTTGATATTTAGTAAGCTCATAATTAAATACTGCCTTATATAAATTTTGAATAATATTTGATTTTAAATTTAAAGGACTGTCCTTATCGCTCAAATTGTAACCATCATGTAAATAAAAAGCCAAATAGAGAACATTATATGAATGTTTTTTTAAAGATAAACCTTTGATTGTATCTGCCTTTCCAAATGCTGAATTCTCAAAGTTCATAAGAGTTATAT